ACTTTTATTTTGCAAATTGAGCTAACGGGAATCGAAGAAGCTATCATCGACAAACGTTGGTCTTTTACCATGCAAGAAGAGTTAGATCAATTTTAATGAAACAATGTTTGAGAACTTGTTTCTAAAGTTTCAACTAATCTTGTGATTGATACCTAGTGGGTTCTTGGTAACAATCTGGATGAATATGGTAATGTTTTAAGAAATAAATTTAGACTTACTACAAAGAGATACAATCAAAATAAAGGAATATATTTATATGAAACATATGCTCTTGTGTCTAGATTAAAATCCAAAAGGATATTATTAGTCGTATCTTACATCATGAATTTAAAATCATTTTACATGGATGTAAAAAGAATATTTCTAAATGGCTACATCGAAAAATAGGTATATGTGTATCAGGCTCAACGCTTTGTCAACCCAACCTTTGCAGATCATGTTTTCAAGCTTAAGAAATCTTTATATGGACTAAAACAATCTTCTAGGGCTTGGTATGATCGTTTGAGCAAATTCTTGCTTGAAAACGCATTCCAACGAGGACAAGTTGATAAAACTCTTTTTATCACGAAAATCGAACATGACATTACTAGTTCAAATCTATGTCGATGATATCATTTTTGGTTCTACTAAAGAATCCTCGTGCAAGGAATTCTGTGAAATTATGAAAAATGGGTTCGAAATGTCAATGATATGATATCTTAAATATTTCTAGGAATTCAAATCCATCAAGCTAAATAAGGAACTTTCATAAATCAAGCTAAATACTATAATGAGTTATTAAAATGGTTTGATTTAGAGTAGTCCAAGGTAATAGCAACCCCAATGTCGACCTCATGCAACCTTGACAAGGATGAAAATAGAAAATCAATTGAAGAAAGCAAATACCGAGGTATGATAGGCTCTCATCTCTGTCTAATTGCATCTCATCCTGATATAATGTTTGTTATCTGTATGTGTGCATGCTTTCAAGAATCTTCGAAGGCATCACATTTCAATGTGGTCAAATGCATCATGAGATATCTCTCTGGCACACAACAAATGGGTTTATGGTACCCCAAAAGAGCGAATTATAACTTATTTGGGTACACCGACTTTAATTTTTCTGGGGGTGGATTGGATAGGAAAAGTACCAACAGTACATGTCACTTACTTGGGAACTCACTTCTCTCATGTCTAGAAAGAAACAAGAAAGTGTCACACTATCTATAACTGAGGCAAAATACGTTGCAGCGGGTAGCCGTCAGACTTAAATCATCGAAATGAAACAATAACTCAATAATTATGGTGTTAATCTTGAACTGTCTCGATAAGATGAGACAACAATAATGCCATATACCTTACAAAAAAAACCCGATTCTTCACTCTCGAGCTAAACAAATTGAAGTTAGGAACCACTTTTTAAGGGATCATGTTTTAAATGGGGAGTGCGTACTTGAATTTGTGACCTCATCTATTCAACTTGCAGATATTTTTACTAAATACCTTCCTAAAGAAAACTTCTTTTCATAAGAACTAAACTAGTAATATTAAACAAATCATGCATATATTAATATGCCTATGTGTTTTCTTTTCAGCTCGATGTTGTGTGATGTATATGCTTTATTTTTTGCCTTTTCAATTATAACAAAGGGGCAGAAGTATACTCTCATAGGGAGTAGAGTATACTCTCCAATTAATTAAGGGGGAGTTTAAGTAATCCAGTTATAAATCTATCTAGTTGTCTTTTACCACATCCCCGCGAGATGAATCTATGTGCTTCCGAGTATAAACTTGATAATCCAACAAAAAATCCTTTCTGATGTTTTGATGATGACAACAACAATAGTTATCATAATCGGTGGCATTATCTTCCAACTCTCTGATTATGGTGATCCAACGATAAAAAAAAATCAAGCCTCATCAAGAAAAGAGACTCAATATTGAAGGGCTTATATGATCGCTGCATCTAGCAAAGTAACTTAAATGCCTCAGAGTAATGGAAGAGATGAAGTGTGAAAGCTCTCCAGGTCGTATCTGTCTGGGTGATCAAAGTTTTGTAAAAGTAAGAAAATATCTCATAAGTTCTAAGGAAACTCTCTCTCCATCTCTCTCTCTCTCTCTCTCTCTCTCTCTCTCTCTCTCTCTCTCTCTCTCTCTCTCGTTGTTTGTTTGTCTGTCTGTCTGTTCTCTCTCTCTCTCTCTCTCTCTCTCTCTCTCTCTCTCTCTCTCTCTCTCTCTCTCTCTCTCTCTCTCTCTCTCTCTCTCTCTCTCTCTCTCTCTCTCTCTCTCTCTCTCTCTCTCTCTCTCTATTTCCCCTTCACACACACTTAGTAGTATTTTTCTAACCTTTTTATCTCTTAAAAATGTTTTCTAGAGCGAGACAAGTGATTAAGAAATTGTCCACTATCTTTTAAATGGGTTTTTTGAACTACATAGTCAATTGAGACCTTAAGCAAATCGATTGGAAATACTTCTTTTTAACTAGCCAATTGATTGGGGCATTAAGCTAATAGATTGAAGAATTCCTAGACGATCAATAAAATGATTAGGACAACATCTTAATGACTTATAACGACTATGTATGATTTCTTTCCTTTTAAACAACCATAATTGTTTATTTTTTGGGCTTCCAAATGTTTGAAGCAAGATGGAAATCGATTGGAACATTAATTTCGCCCATGGATTGCTTTCTTTTTTGGATTTTCCTTCTTCTATATAAAGAAGGGTCTCCTTCTCTTGATTTCACACCATTTTCGAAATCCTTACATTTTCTTTGGAACTTATCTCTCTATTTTCTCTCTTTCTCTCTCTAGAAATGATTTTTCTTTCACTTAAGTTGCCTTGGTGCTTTTGAGTGAAACATTACTTGTGATGAAGAATTTGTAATTGGGTGTGCTATTGTTTTGATTCTTGAGAGTGTGATACTTTTGAAAAATTGAGTTTGGTTCGTGAGTAAGCCAATCAGAAAAATTATCTTTTAGTATCTGTAACTTTTCTGAAAAGTTTTCTGTTTTGGTTATTGAGATAAACCTGAAAAATCTATAAATTGTTCATTAGCTTAACTTATGGTAAAATCTATCTTTGGTTGCGGATAAGTCTGTAAAATCTCAAGATCATATTGTATTAAGATTCGTAGTGATTTAAGATTCGTAGTTTAAGAATATTTAAGAAAATCACTAAAAATATTGTCAGTTTTAAATACCACAATTTATCCTCCTTTTGTGCTTGAAGTTACTTCCAATAAGTACATGCCCCAATTTTAATAACTTTTGAAGAATCTCATCTTACATAGACCGTGACGAACTCTCTGAGGTTTTTGGGCCTTTCCATTTCCCTTCATGCTTCTATAAGTATATCTTAATCATCCATCGCAGTTTTTTTTTTGGTGTGGATTTTTGGTGTGTGTGTGTCTAAATCCATTCATTCCTCTAGATTCCCTATTGAGAAAGAGCTCTTTTCCGACGGGTGTTTTTTAGCTAAAAGTTTTAGGAAACACGTACAATATGAAGTCAAATTTGTTTCTAGCACCATGACTTGGTTCACCATGGTGTGGAATTTTACTTTTAAATGAATGGTTGATGAGACAACGCCTAAGGTTCCAATGTTGGCCTTCCTAAGATACAATTGTAAATAGAATCACATTTGATGACCTTAAAATTTACCTTAATGATTCATCTTTTTCTTGGAACCCAAACATCATCGAGAACTGGAAGTATCCCAAATGTGTTGTGTTGGTCCCATTGAAACCTTGAAGCCCCTCTTCGTGGTACGGTTACAGTGCTAGTTGTAATCCTAATTCATTGTAGATTTGAGTTTGCATCATATCTCTCAAGCTTACATGCTTCATCAAAATGTGTCGAACGTCGTGCCCCACTATTGCTACTCTTATGAGAATGAGTATGTGGTGATTTGGAATGTTTTTGATTAGTTCATCATCGCAGAATGACAGTGGAGGCCTCTTGCTGGCCTATGTGTTCTTGAGAAGCAGGTTTCTACGAGGATCTTTCCTTAAGAGAAAACAACTTTTGTTATGGGTGGTGGATCACTTCTGACGATAATAGATCGAATATGAAGAAAAGCAATTCACACAGACGGAGCAAAGGATCTGATGCAAACCTAAAGTAGTTGATGTCATATTTGATTTTCTTGGTGAGATGGAGAGTTTTTATAGCTAGCTGATATTTGGAGTTTTGTCCAGCGTCAGAGGGTGGAGATGGTACATGTAAATACTTTAATGCCTAAGTCAGCATCCTTATGAGGCGGATAAGAATACTTTTGGCTTTAAAGAGTTTTGTACATTCATTTGACATTTTTTCCTCTTTTATAAGTGAATTCTAGGTTTTGTTTAGGGTCTATAACCTCCATGTGCAAGGAAAATGTCAAAGTGTAATTCATTCTATTATCTATCAGTCTTTATTAAATTACTTACCCATCTTAATTAGGTATTTTCTTAGAATATAACTTAGCATATTCTCGAGACTTTGTAACTCTTTTCTTATAACACTTTCTTGGAACACTTTGTCCATCTTATTCCTCGATCTTAATCAGACCAACTTTAAGGATGTGGATCGAATCAAATCTTCTTCTTTAATATGGATGTATATTCTTATTGGTCAGTTCTAAATATATTCTTATTACACACATACACACTTGGGGTTGAACGAGATGACATGTGGAAATAAGTGATCTAAACACTCTTTGATGTGGATCTTCTTGAGGCATACCTCTAGTGAAAACAAAGAGATTTATGAGTAAGTGGCGTCAAATCTCTTATCATATCCTCGGCCACCAATATCATAAAATGGTGCGAGATCAAAAGAGTATCATGTAACCGACCATCTACTTCATTAGGTGTTTTGATACAGCATTCAAATGATTGAACAAAAACTCAAGAGCAACAATTGTCATCCATTGTGATCAACAATGCACAAATATTTAAAGTACTACAGATGCACTAAATCAACATAAGCGATACTTTTATCAATGAAAACTTCATACAAGACATGCTAGGGATATGGCAGTTACTTCTGCACCTTTGAACATGAAGAGATACCTGTCTCATTATATGACTGTTCCCAATTCTTCCCATCAAAATTCCTGATTTCAACCTTTGTCAACGTTCCAGCGTCAACACACCTGAATGTAACAGCAACCCCATCTGGATTTGAGCGTGGATAATAGAATGAAGTTATACCACATATTTTGCAAAATGTATGCTTTGCAGTGTGAGTGCCAAACGTATAAGTTGTAAGAAACTCAGCAGAATCTCCCAAAAGCTCAAATTTGTGAGCAGGCACAATAAAGTGTGTATTGGCTCTCATGTAACAGTTTGAGCAGTTGCAGTCCCATACCACCACACTGGAAGGAGCAATCACTTTCCACCTTACACTCTTACAATGACAGCCTCCATTATGCACCACTGTTTCATCTTCCATTTCAGGATTCTAAACAACAATGATCACCAATCAAGAAAACTATCAATCAAGTCCGGGATTAAAAAACTAAGTTAAATTCTGGTAACCTAAGAACCGTTTTAGAATGAAAACCTCAAATATTCGTATCTCTGCTTAAGAAGTCAAAGATAAAACAATCCAGTTACACTATTCTACTATTCTGTATCCTAAAAACCGTTCTAGAATTACTAGAAGAGAAAACTATGGAAGAAGAAGAATCAAATATTGTTATGGTAAGAGAAAAAAAGAAAGGAACAAACTCACCTAATCGGATGAGATGGGGCTAGCTGTAGAAATTGACAGATTTCAACTTTGCATTTTCATTTATACTGTCAGACCATGGATCTGGTTTTTACTAGTTTTCAGTATTTAATGGTTGGTAAACAAAATTAAGGAAACGTGTCTAACACATTTAAAATAATCTTATATATGGAAGATGATTAGCTTATATGATAAATATTAAAATTCATTCTAGTTAGTTCTGAATTATTGGTTGAGATAATAAGAAAGTCAAAAGAATTAATTAATCTACGATTTGTGTAACATCAAGTTGCTGTGGTGTAGTGGTTATCACGTCAGTCTTACACACTGAAGGTCTCCAGTTCGATCCTGGGCAGCAACAATGACTTTTGTATTATTTTGTTTGTTTTACTTGAAAGTTCAAATTCAATTGAAATGTATGAAGTATGTCATTGGGCTTTTATTAACTCCTACCAGTTGGGCTTTAGACTCTACTTTATGTGGATTTATCTTTCCACCTTCACATTAGGGTGCCATATGCTAAGAATATGGAAAATTTTAAAAATATTTTGTAGTCTTTTCAGATTTTTAAAAAATGCCAATAGTGTCAAAAAAATTTGTCTATCAAATACAAACTACCGGTTTTTATAAATATTCAGAATTATCAAAGACATTAGATTTAACAAAAATTTGGTATGTTAATTCATTTAAAAAACAACCAAAAATATATATCGAAGTTTATAAATACATTATCTAATTTTCAATTTATACCGAATTTATTTTACTTATTATAATTTTTTTTTTTCAAATTTTCCGAACATAGTTTGATTAAAAAAAACATGAATATTATGACAATATGTCAAATCAAACTGAGAGGTGGATAAATACTCAATTTTTTATTCTTTTTCATTAATATTTAGAGAAAAGTACAAGTTATTATAAACAATAAAAATAAAAGACAAAAAAACAGTTTAGATCTTTTAAATTATTTTAAAATAATAAATTAATTTTTTAATTTTTTTAATAATTAATCTTTTATGTTAAGTAACGTTTGCATCATTAATCTTTTTTAGAATCTTCATTCCAAAAACGTTTATGTATCATAAACGAAGATGATGTGTCATTTAACAACGATGATATATTATTTTATTTTGTTATTTATTTTTTAATTACACGTGAATTTTAATTTATTTTATATTTTTATTTTTTTCATATTTTTTAATTGTTTTTTAATTTTTTTTTTAATATATTTAAATTTAAATTTTTATTATTTTATATATATTTAACTTAAAAGACTTAGATAGTATTTTTTCCAATATAAAACATTTGTTTTAAGTTTCAAAAACAAACTATTAAAGAAGAATTCAAACACATTTTATTTGTTAATAAATATGTGTTGCTCATTTACAAGTATGTTATCTCAAGAATCAAATTCTTATGATACCAACCATATTTGCAAACATAATAATAAATTTTTATGGAAAGTGTCACAAAATGAACAGTAATATTTAGTGATGGTTAAAAACTGTTGTTAAAAATTTTTAGTGACAGAACAAAGCATCACAAAATAAACAGTAATATTTAGTGACGGTTAAAAACTATTGTTAAATTCTTTTTAGCGACGATAAAAAAGTGTCACAAAATAAACAATAATATTTAGTAACGATTAAAAACCGTCACTATTTATTGAAAATGAAAAGAAAAAAAAGAGACATCGCTCACGTGAATAGATAGAATCTATAAAACATATTTGAATCATTCTTAAATTGTTTGTTTCAATTCTAAAAATAATGCTCAACATTAAAACTTATTCACTATTTTTTAAAATAAAAAAGTATGAAAATATAAGAATTAACTAATTTTAATCTAGAGTATATAAATAATGATTTATTATTTACACAAAATATACACTTTACATCCATAATCAAGGCTCAACAACTATCAATATAAGATTTCTTTTCAATGTGCCACCAAACTAAAACAAATATGTTATTGATCTATGATCTAATTTATAAAATATCAACTAGAAAAATCAATAATAAAATCAATTATTTTGCCAAAACTTAAAAAAGTAATATCACTTATATCATGATTATTTAACAAATTTTCTTTAATAATAGCAATACACAATTTTATTAATAATAACAATAAACTTATATCATGATTATTTAATAAATTTCTTTATAATGTCAACTATACAAATCCCATCTAAAAAAAATAAAGACTACATATAAAAACTCAAATTGTATTAAATTAATATGATTTTTATAGATGTGTTATCATGCTTACACGTATTAAATTAAGTAACTTTAGATTTATGTAATTTTCATAATTTATGTAATTAAGTATATATAAGTATTGTTTTGGACTGGCCCGACCTGCCCATCATGTCGAGCAGACCCAATCCAATGCTATTTGAGGAAGGTTCAATAAGGCTAAAACTCCAGTGTCGGGCACGACTCTAGACCCACCGGGCAGGCAACTTCCATCTGTCGGGCAGAACCACACTTCTTACACACGTTCTCCACGTGCCCCCTCCGCGGGGACACGTCCCAAACACTATCCACCTCCGAAAGAGCTGGTCAGCCCACCTTTCAGAGATCACGAGACGGTTGATCTAGGGTGAGGACCACGTGTTGGTCTTCATTACGTCACGTATGCCCTAACAGTCATTTGGATTGGGCCTGACAATCCAGCCCAACACAAATGACCGTTGGCCCTGCGCTGGAGTCTCTTTATAAATACCCTATTTCACTAGAGGGTCAGGTATTCAATTATCTACACCTAACTTCTGTACTTTCTCCAATTCTGCTCCCTTACTCACTTAAGTATCAGAGTATCTTGCAGGTACACCTCCTCCTCCTCCCTACTTCTGGTAGACAGCTTGCAGATCAACGACGTGCGGTAGGTCGATGATTTCCTTCTGATCATGTACGATCAGTGGGGCCGTCTGTGGGAAACTGAGCTTCCCCGTTCCTCCGAGCAGAAGAACCAAAGCTACCGATTTCAAATTCCAATATCATGACTAGCCCACATCACGAAGACGCTGTCCACAACTCCGCTCCCGTCCCAATCACCAACGACGACGACCAGACGGGGACTTCCCAGGCCCGTGAAGGCGATACCAGGGACGGTCAGACCGTCACCCCTTCGTTTGATGACGCGACACATTACATCGCCCTTCGAGCGAGGAGTCCGACTGTCTTCCAGCCCGTCCCTACGCCAGCGGAAGCGGACCCGACGATGACTTCTCTCTTCGCAGCCATCAACCAAACAAACCTGATGCTGTTCCAGCAGAATGAGCACATCGGTGCACTGGAACAGGATATCTCGTCCCGCTCTCCCCCGAGGGAGATCATGGCCACCCTAATCTCCCATGGGATGGAGAAGCCTCCCGTACTCTCCACGTACGATGGTACCTTAGATCCGAACGACCACCTAGAAGACATCGAGGCTATGCTCGACTATAGAAACGTCTGGGGAGCCATCAAATGCAGGCTCTTCCTGACGATATTGAGGAAAGGAGCCATGACTTGGTACAAAAGCTTGGAGCCTGAATCCGTCACATCATAGAGGGTCCTGAAAGATCTTTTTTCACGATATTTTACGGTGTCGCGACGACACCCAAAGACGGAGGCCGCCCTGAGCGCAATCATCCAAGCCCCAGATGAACCGCACAGGAACTACATTGAGAGGTTCACGACAGAAGCAGTCAAGGTGATGACCTCGGACGACATGAAACGTTATCTTATGGAGCAAGGCCTACGTCGTGGCTCTAAGTTCTACGAGGCCGTGGCAATCCACCGGCCTAACACCTTGTAAGGCTTCTTCGAGAAAGCCCAACATTACATCCGGTACGAGGAGACCGAGGTCGCCAATTCTGCCCAAGAATACTGCAACCGAGACATTCCCTGCGGATCTCGAAAGGAAGGGACACCGGCCCTCCGGCATGAGGGAGACCGACGACGGGACGATCGTCCCCGAGAGCCTCAGGAGCAGAGGGGACCCGCTGGACGCTTCACCGAATACACCGCCCCATTCGCTTCCCGCGAGCGCATACTGGCTAAGTGCACCAACTCGGAGTACGTTCCGGGAGGTGTCCGCTTTCCCAAGCCGACACCCTCAAGGCCAAAGTGCACAAGTCCAAGTACTGCCACTTCCATCGAGGCCACAGGCACGTGACGTAGGACTACATACACCTCAAGGACGCAATCAAAATACTCATCAAAGATAGACATTTGAAGAGGTACACCAGGGGAGGAGATGCCCCCCGACAGGAGGCTCCGGAAGCCAAAAGAGTCGACGACATCCCTCCTCCTACCAACAAGTTCGGTCTACAGGTGGCCCTCTGCGTCGATCGGCCCAAAGACTGGTTCTCACTGAGGGAACACGGCCTCCCTGCCAAGCATTATCTCTCCGAGGAGCCAGTACGCCCAATCATCCTGTGGGAATACTTTCCCAAGGAAATGGTCATCTCGAACGGGACCCCAAGCAAACTCTCGATTGGGTGGGTGAAAAGGAAGTTTGACGAATTGATGAACAACATCTCCGGAAAAATGAGCACGCTCGACAAATTTTGCGGCCGGTCCAACCCGATCACATTCTATCTCGAAGAGCTCCCCGGTGGAGCCCCCAACTTGGCGATACCCCTGCTGATACGGGCACAAATGGTGAATTTCGGCGTCCGCTGCATCCTGGTCGACGGAGGAAGCTCGGTGGCTATCATGTATACCCACCTCTTC